TTGTTTGTTTTCCTCGCTCTTCCTTTTTTATTTGTCTTCTCTCACCCCTATCTCCTTCTCTTAAAAAAAAAAAAAATTTTTTTTCTTTCCCTTTGGGTTTCTGGCCCTTCCCTGCGGCTTCCCCTTCTTCCAGCTGTCACCCTATGTTTCTTCCGATGCCACACACAGAGCAGCATATCCCTTCTTGGTTCACCCAGGGCTTAGGGTGTGCGTGTGTTCCCTTTTTCTTTTTTTTTTTYTTTTTCTTCCCCCGTTTTTTTTGCCTGGGTTTCTGCTGTTCTCTTCTTGCAGGATGCAWTTCTCTCCTATTTTCTGCTTCCGCGTTGGGCCTCTGCCACTCCCCAAAAGTTTTGCCCCTGCAACCTCATTTCCCCCCTTTTATTTTCCACTTCATGCCTTTGATGCCTTGTTTCTTTTGTCCCTGTGCATACTCTCCAGATTCTTTTTATGCACTTATTTCTAGTCCAGTGATCTCTCCTTGCTTTTTCACTTCTCTACTGTSTTCTGTGGGGGCTGCTGCTTCCCATCTTGCCCAGCTTCGTGTGTCTTGCTGGGCTCCACACGCTTTTGTGTGTGATGAGGTGGATCTGGAGAGATGAGGTGGTTCCTTTTTTAAGGTTATGGAGGGATCTTTATTTCTTGTTTTGGGGGGAGGGAGGTGGCTAACCAATGCAACTTTACATAGAGTTTTATTAAAACCAGACACATGATAGCTGTGACAGATGTATATAAAACAAGATGGTGGTGGATGTTTCTTRCTTAACCTAAACTTTGAAATTATAGAATATGGAGTTTTCAGGACTAAAAATTGTTAGTGATGGAGCCAGAAGACACACTCATGCTTAGTCAGTCTTATGTGAGAAGATTCTCATGGACTAGTGGTTATTTATTTGTTTAAGCTATTTTAAGCTATTTTATTTTGCTATAGAGGATTTAAGGATACTGTAACCTGTACTGTTTCTTAGTGCAGGGCAGATTAGCAGTGTTCTGAAATGACTGATCCTTAAAAAAAAAAACTCTCCTTACGATATTATTTCCTTATATGAAAATTTCAGAATCTATATCACTTTCTCAACCTGACTGAGGAATCTATAACTCAGTCCACCTTGCAATATTACCATATGCTTCTTATAACTAAAAATACCTTGCTTTTCAGATATATAAAGTACCCATCAGTCAGTTTAAAAGATTACATGTGATAATAAAGTTCTAGAATTGGCAATAATCTTAAGCTACTAAACTTTCTTTGTTCAGTTACTCTGTCCTGTATTTATTGCTTATATTTCTAAAGGAGGGGAGGGCGATCAAAATTCACTTGCTCAGGCTTTCTCCACCAGTTAATGTTTGCAAACAGTAAAACACTGTAGATTATTTAAAAGATTTTCAGTGAAATTCACTGAATTTTCAAATAATTTTCCTGACTTTCTACATAAGCCTGGTTTTATAATATTTTAAATTGATGTTCAGGTTGAAAAGAACAACTGGCWCATATGTGGAATTATTCTGAAGTCAACATTAGAGTTCTAACTGTACTTTTTTATTTTGCTTTTTTCACTTTCCTATATACAGAGACCTAAAGGACAGGGAAATAAAGGTAAGTTGATTCCTTGTATTTTGTATAAATTCCCAATCCTGGCCTTTATGGAGTTTAATGTGACCTCAGATAATCATGTAGGGGGAGAACATAGGATATCTTTTCTTTCAGAGTAAGATGACAAGAAATTGCATRTTAGATCTTTTATTTTCCAGCTTTTTACTATGGCACAATGGGACATAATTTTAAAATGCTTTATTTTGCAGGTTAAAAGTTCATTACTCAAGTGAGAAGATAACATAGCTATTTCTTTTAATCTGGCTTTCAATGATATGTTTGCCTGACTTTTTTTTTTTTAAGTACACCTTGAGCCTTTCTCTACAATAAGTAGCATCTGGGTATGAGAAGCAACAGGAGGAATCTTTTGAGCAGCTTCCTTAGTTTGAAAGACAACCACATGACTGTTTAGTTACTCATATCTGTGAGCAGAACACATCATCTTTATTCTCATTTTTTTGGCTTTACTGGGCATTTTTATCTTCAGGATTGAACATTCTTGAATTTATTAAGTTTTTTTCTTTTTCACTTTTATGTCTAGATTTTCAGTTTTTAAATACTGTGCTCTTTGATCTCTTTTACAGGAACACAGAACAAATTAATATTGCTCCCTCTCAAACTTGGGAAATCTGACCTAAATAGCATCTCAGATTATATCTTGAAATTTATATCTTGAATTTATGCCTATATTTAAAACAAACAAAAAAGGGATTTCCCCTTTCTCACTCTGTATTCTTGTGACATTTATTTTCTAGGTGCCCAGCGAGCTAAGCTATGTAGTAGCATATACATAACAGCTAGCTGCATTGTGCATTTAACATGCTTATTTCTTCATGCAAATAAGATTGATCTTATCTGGGGTTTATGTACTCTTTGCACCACCTGTTCTCTATCCAAATTAATCTAACCATTCTCCATAAATTGGCATTATTTTATCCACAGTTTATTGCCRTGTGCAGACTATCTGCTTCTAATTGCATATATCATTCGTATCATGATACATAATTCTTGAGTCTTGCTGGATTCAGCGTTTCTGTGTCACTTCAGCAGACATTTAGGAAAAAAATGTACATGTGTTTACTTCCTCAAGCACTCTGTGTTTGCTTGTTCTTTCTTCAGTGCTTATTTTTATCTTCTAAAACTTCTATTATGTTTTTTAAAACTAATTTTTGTAATTCTTATATGTGAAATTGCTTGTGTTTGTACCTTACATGTTTTTCTTAAATGGAAACAAAAAACTAGATCAATTTAAATGACTTGTGGCTTCACATTCCTTATTTTATCACTTTTGAGATTTGAATGATGTTACTGAGCAGTACCTACTCAACAATCATTCAAGTTGCTTTTGAGCTACACTTCATATATTTGAAGTAGAAGTATGAAGTGTTTTTATTGGGCATTGTGCAGCAGCGTGTTTAGTAATGAAAATTAATTAGTTTCACTTCTCATTTATATTAGCATTTTTTTGCTGTGCTGTCATTTATAAATTTGTAGAATGTTTGAAATGAAACGGCTTAGAATTTACTTAGGAAACTGTAATGAAACAATACAATTTTCAGCTCAATTCTACTGAAATAGTCATGCCAAATATTATTAGTTTRTGATTTAATGCTAAGTTAAAGGAAACTGAAGACTAACACGTTATTGCAGTTAACTTCAGGTTGGAGACTTTTTCAAGAGTATRAATTAAGTCAGTATCAGCAATCCTTGCTGCCTGTGTGTTAGCAGACAGTGACCGTAATGGGACATCATGATATTGTCCTTGCTTAATAGGGTTTGAGGGAAGATGTGCTACTGAGTTGAGAGACTAGGCGAAGTGTATTCTGTGCATAAGAGGATGGTGAAAGGGTTAATGCTCACATATCTGCGTGTGAGCAAGTGTGAGTGAGCTGTATAAGGGCTGTATGCAAGCAAGTGTGGTAGTTCTCATGTTGGAATCAGCATGAAATGTGCAAATGATCTTAAGCAGATGAATTTTATTGTCTACTACAATGATTGCTTTATTCTGATTATAAATTGCTGAAAAAGTCTTCCCTGACCAAAATCTGTGGWATTGTTATTCAAGGATGTAGAAGAGTACTGTAATTCTGTTGGCATTAATTTCAGTATTCCAGAGACTTGAAGGAGTAACTTATCCCATCTTAGAGGCTTTCTTGTTCTAACTGTTAACTCCAGTACACTTGACACAAGATGTCAGAACTGGTATCAGTCAGAATGATGTCTTGTGGTTGAAAAATGGGCATCCCCAAACCCTTCCCTGCCACTGGTCTTTAGTTTGGTCCATGTGTATGATAGGAAAGAGTTGACTTGTCTTTCATATATATACACGTGTGTGTGTGTGGGGGGGGGGGGGGGTTAAAAAAAAACACATATATTAAATATATAGATTTTTTTGTAGGAAGCTTAAAGGTAAGCAGTAGGCTTAAAATAGGTTTAAAACAAGAATTAGGTGTTACGGGTATCTTGCAGTACGTATTTTGTAAATTAAGATATAATAGCATCTTCTAATGAAAATTTTATTCTTTTGCCTTTGGCTATTGTGCATTTTGCAAGTGGTTATTCAAAGGATAGTAGCTATTAAAAGAATAGAAGCTGTTAGTTCCTGTATTTGATGATATATGTCTTTATAATATATTACGTTGTATGTTTTTAAAGTGTTTATGGAAATGTACAGTATTTTCAAGATTGGATTGATACAGATATTTTTAGTTCCTGTGGGTTAGTTTTAATTGGTATCCTTCATCAATGCCCTGTTGACTGGAACACTTAATGTGATATTTTTGGGGCATGAAGCATGCGTCTTCATCTGTTTGCTCTTGTTAAGTGTGTGTGGGCTACATTTTTCTTATTAACACATTAAGCAAAGTTAGAATGAAAAGGCAAAGCAACATGCTTTCTGTGATGCTATTTTCACTGAGAAATGTGTGTATTTACTAGGGAAGATGGGACAATGTGGAACTATTCTCGTGTCACTGCCAGATCTGAGTACAGATTGAATAAGAAGGGAAACAGATTTGCAAAAATATTCTGTGTTAGTTGGACTGGCTAACCAAAAATAAGTCATTTGGTTTAACCTTAGATGCCTCTGAAACAAATGTTGCAGATTCACGTAAGTTGTCAGTACTAAGAGATTAGTTCTGATAGCGCTAGCTTTTTTGGTTGCATGCTTTGAAGTAACTTGTGTCCATTCATGTACTTTTTTTCATTATAACAGAGCTGTATTTGAGGATTTTTCTGTCCATAGTATTTGGTTAAGTGGTATTTAAGTGACAGGGACAATAGACTTTGTGGATCATATCTGTGTATGACCGAGTCAAATATAAAAAGGAATGTAGCATTCCGGCTCGTTAAAACATTCTTGTGGCTGAATTTAAAATAATTAATGACCATTAACAGCAACATCTTATATTTGGGAGGAATGGGGAAGGACCTCTGTCATTTAAATTTATTTAATTTAAACTTTTTTTTATATCAAATTTTGAAACTTATTATGTTTACTTTTTTCTGATCATATTTGCCACATATGACATATATATATATATATACACGTATCATATAGGCAAAGATACACTGTGCCTATATGTAAAAGTTGAAGCATCAAGTGTTCTGACCCTCTAAACCCCAGTAAGGTGTATAAAATACAAATTGCTTTCCCCTTCCCCAGATATCTTGAAAATAATCTTCTCGTGTTCTGGAATTTTATAATTTAACACAGGTCGCCTTACTGTCTTCTGAAATTAATTTTTCTTTTCCAGAGTGGTTATTTCTTGTGATTCTATTTGCTCCTTTGTCATGTTTTTATATTAGTTACTTTCCCTGAAGACAAGTTGATCTAATTGCAAGTAAATGTTGAAGTGGCACCAGCTAGTTTGCTGTGTGAACTTTGGGTCTTCTTTTTTAAAAAACAAAAAAACACAAAGAACAACCTTAAACACCAGCTCCAGTAAAGTTGAAGATTTAGTTGCATGGTTGTACATAGTTTTCAGAAGGTTTTACCAAAAAAGGGAAAATAGAGTCAACTCTTAGAGTAGCTCTAGATGTCAGAAAAACTTTTGTTGGAACTTCTGCTTTTTTTTTTCCCCACTTAATACATCTAATTTRTCTAAAACATTTTTAGCCAGTCTACTGCTAGATAAAAATATTCAGAAAAGTTTTATTTTTGAGAAGTAAAGCTCTTTTTTTTTTTCCCAGTATAATTTCAAATCACCTGTCTGCTAGTTTAAGCCCTGCTTCCTCATGGGAAACAATAGAGCTTAGTGGAATTTTATGCAATTTCACTTTGAGTAATAGTTGGGTGGGGATGGGGAGGTATTCAAGTTATTTGGGCAGCTGGAAAATCCCAGGTGTAATACCTTAAATGAAATTAAAGGAAATAAGTAGGAAGAAATTCTAATGTATAATGGAATACATGTATATGTAGAAAGAGGAGTATCTTTGCCCCTGGGGACTTGGAACTCCTGGCTTTGTTCCCTCTGAGCTTCAAAGATGCCACTAATGCCATGTAGTGTAATAAGTATGTAGGAAGTAGGGAATGAAGATGGCCAGAATAGTGGTGCCCATTGGCTGTGTGGGTGACTACCCGACTTTCCCCCTTACAGGAGAAGGCTGTTCAGCAACTTTCYCTGAACCTGTTGAAAGCCTTTGGTCTGGTTGGTGTGCATGCTTGTGTGTAGTCTGGTACTTCTGGAAACGCTGGATATGCTGCCCYTGCAGACAAGGTGTGCCTGGAGCTTTCACCTGTCTGCTGAGTCTAGGAAAGAAGAGGCTGGAATACTCCTTTATCTACCATCTTTTTGGATCTCTCCTGAGATCTGATTGAGGGACTTAGGGACAGGACTCTTTCCTCTAAATTTAGCAAGGTGATGTTTAGTGGTAAGATGTTCAGTCTCAACAAAGCACTAGTATTTCAGTAGACAATTAGTTAGAAACCGTGAGCTAGGTTGAAAGTACGTCATGGGGATTCCAGATAGTATGCCTAATGCAGATTTGCTTTCAGTTTCAGTACAAAACGGTTCGATTCATCAAAAGGATGCAGTAAATGATGATGATTTTGAGCCATATCTAAGTAGTCAGACAAATCAGGTAAGTGAATGTTGCTTACTATATCAGAGATAATTTCTGAGTTCAATTAACTTCCAGTCTTTTAATTTTTGGATGATCTTTTAGTCTTATTTTTATTAATATCTATTGAAATATAATTCAGTAGCATATGATATTTTAAACAGGTAAAGACTTTTTGTTAATTTTAGAAAAGATTCAATTAAAAAGCGTGATGAGATGTCTATTACTGTTGTGGTTTTGCTCTRATTTCAGAACAAAACAGTTACAGGATGCTTTTTTTTAGGGGGGAARAAGCCTAAAACTGTACCTCTTACAGGATAAATACATCGTAAATTTGTTGGATGCAGTTCAAAAAAATGGTTTGATTGGCTCTCAGAAAATATTAACTGCATGGATATGACTTCTTTTGAAGTTGGTAGGAGTAGCTCACAATAGATGGAATAATAGATGGAAGCTTAATATTGCTAAAGCTTAGTATAAGTCTTCTGCCAGAAAGTTAATGACATATTAGAGCTGTAAATTATCTCCATAGTCAGAAGTTAATATTCTTAAAGTTTGTAAGTTATACTAGTTTTAAGAGAAAGTAAGTACAAATAAAAAGCTTTGGTTTTTTTTCATGTCTTCTCATTTACTCAAGAAATAGTGCAACACTAGGGAGGCATGAACTGGAGGATAAAAATGTGCAGTACTTTTTTTCAAAACAGTATCAAGTCATATGTGGGTAGCCTTTTGAGTGGCTTGGAGCTTTATATTCTAAGGATGTATATGCTGTGTTTTCCCAGAAATCTTAGGAGAGGAAAATGAATTTAGCAAGCAGATTTGGTATTATTGGACCATAGGTTATTCTTAATGTCCATTCTTGAATTGTATGAAAGTGTTATGGTTTTAAGTGCTTTCCTGCTGACATAAATAGACATCCTTTGTCATCTTTGCCTAAATGTTCTGGCAGTTGTCTCCAATTACAAATGAGAGACTTGACAAAAACCAAGAATGCCAAATGTAAAATTACAGCTATGGTTTTTATATTCTCAAAACTACAGTAGTAGTGATTTTTTTTTTTAAAGCTGGATATTTCTTTATCGTGTTGACAAGAAGACATTTTAAAACTAGTCGACTTTCTGAATATAAAGATGATTTATTAAAAGATGAGTGTTCTTTAGTGCTTTCAGAAGGTCCCTTGAGAAATAATTGCTGTATCTAGGAGATACTTTGTTACCTTGGGAAGAGCAGTGGAATTTACGTTTTCCTCATCTAATCCTTGAAAATGTTCTGGAAAATTGCTGTTCTGAGCAAACTTATGTTTATAATGCTGATATTTGTTGTATTTTCTTGCAGAGTAACAGCTATCCACCAATGTCCGACCCATACATGCCTAGTTATTATGCTCCATCCATTGGATTTCCATACTCTTTAGGTGAAGCAGCATGGTCCACTGCAGGTGACCCTCCAATGCCATACTTGACAACTTATGGACAGATGAGTAATGGTGAACACCATTACATACCTGATGGTGTATTTAGTCAACCTGGGGCATTAGGAAATACCCCTCCATTTCTTGGGCAGCATGGATTTAATTTTTTTCCTGGGAATGCAGACTTCTCTACATGGGGGACAAGTGGATCTCAGGGACAATCAACACAAAGCTCTGCTTACAGCAGCAGCTATGGCTATCCACCTAGTTCTCTTGGGAGAGCCATAGCAGATGGACAGGCTGGATTTGGCAGCGATACTCTGAGCAAGGTGCCTGGGATTAGCAGCATTGAGCAAGGCATGACTGGACTGAAAATTGGTGGCGATATGACAGCTGCTGTGACAAAAACTGTAGGTTCAGCTCTGAGCAGTACAGGTATGACAAGCATTGCAGCAAACAGTGTGCCCGCAGTTAGCAGTTCAGCACCCAAACCGACCTCGTGGGCTGCCATTGCGAGGAAACCTGCTAAACCTCAGCCGAAACTCAAGCCTAAAGGTAACGTGGGCATTGGGGGCCCTGCGGTACCACCGCCACCTATAAAACACAACATGAATATTGGAACTTGGGACGACAAAGGGTCGGTGGTAAAAGCGCCCCCCACCCAACCAGTACTGCCTCCTCAGACTATAATCCAGCAGCCTCAGCCATTAATTCAACCACCACCRCTGGTGCAAAGCCAACTGCCTCAACAGCAGCCTCAGCCACAGCAAGCGCAGCAGCAACAAGGACCTCAGCAGCAGGCCCAGCCTCACCAGTTGCAGCAGCAGCAGCTGCAAAACCGCTGGGTAGCGCCTCGTAACAGGGGTGTGGGCTTCAGCCAGAACAACGGAGCTGGGAGCGAAAACTTTGGTTTAGGTGTTGTATCCGTCAGCTCCTCGCCCTCCGGTGTGGAAGTGCACCCAGTGCTGGAGAAACTAAAGGCCATAAACAACTACAATCCCAAAGACTTCGATTGGAATCTGAAGAATGGACGTGTGTTTATAATCAAAAGCTATTCAGAGGACGATATTCATCGCTCCATTAAGTACTCTATCTGGTGTAGTACTGAACATGGTAATAAACGCTTGGATGCTGCTTACCGTTCGCTCAATGCAAAGGGCCCGCTCTATTTACTCTTCAGTGTGAATGGCAGTGGACACTTTTGTGGAGTGGCTGAGATGAAGTCTGTTGTGGACTACAATGCGTATGCTGGAGTCTGGTCTCAGGATAAGTGGAAGGGGAAATTTGATGTCAAATGGATCTTTGTCAAAGACGTTCCCAATAACCAACTGCGGCATATTCGCTTGGAAAACAACGACAACAAACCTGTTACCAATTCAAGGGACACTCAAGAGGTACCCCTAGAAAAAGCCAAGCAAGTGCTTAAAATAATTGCTACTTTCAAGCATACCACCTCAATCTTCGATGACTTTGCACATTATGAGAAGCGTCAAGAGGAGGAGGAAGCCATGCGTAGGGTAAGGAATCCATATAATGAAATGCTACCCTTGTTATTTTCTACAGCAATTTTTTGGTAAMATGTTTTAACATGTAAATGTTGAATCGGAAAGTCATGCCTCTTCCTCAAGTTGTTTGAGCTTGGTGTAACTGTCTCTTAATGAAAAGATTTATGTTCTTGTGACGCTTGTTAACACAGATATATGTTAACTGCAACACTAACACACGCATGTGTAAGCTGACTTCTGAAATGTTTTAACAACACTCGTAAACAAAAACTGGAGTGTTATCTCTAGTTGAAGTAATCTAATTTAGATTTTAGAGTTTCTGAATGTCACAGAAAAGGACATAAAATTTCCTTTTTTTTTTTAAAGAAACTTGCTGTGTCCTCAATATTACTTTCATGTGATGTTGATGGGGCACATTTTGAACCAGTTTTTAGTGAAACGGGAAAAAAATTGCATTTTTTTACATAAAACTTTATGTGTTTTTGATATTGTTTAAGAAGGACACTATATTTCTCCGAAGCCTTCATTGTTTTGCAGAACTTTTCATTTTCAGGCCTTTAAGTTGTTTACTTCCAAAATTGATGCTTTTGTGAAGGAACTTATCAAAGGAGTCAACTCGGACATATGCTAGTAACTCAGGGGAATAGACTGGCTTTTTTTTTTTCCTTTGTATAGTAGGAACAAAATGCAAAATACAATTAGGGGGAGGTGTGGGTTGTTTGTGTTTGTGCATGCCAAACTCGAAATCCAAACCACTAAATTGATCATTTAATGTAGTACTACATATATGTGACTGTAATGATGCATATTTTGTGCAATAAAGGACTGTTGGCATTGCCTTAATGTCCTCAGGGAATCATACAGTATCTGTGACTCAAGTAGTGAAATCTGCATTTCTCTCAGAATTGCTTTTCTCAGCACCGCTGAGAGCTTGTTTGCTGTGACTCTTACGTAGTGTGCATTGATTCTTCTGCAGCATTGTACAAATTAGCTTGGTGACTAATTGTAAAGCACTAGTGTAGAGCTGCATATCTAGTGTGAGGGAGTTTCGTTGTAGGCAGCTTTGAGATGAGCCTTAAGCAATTTAATACGGTGCTAAAATATAGGAAGTCCAAATTAAAGTAATACTGACAATTGGAGGATCATCTTTATTGTTCTAATATGCTTGAATGTTGATTCTAAGTCTTCAGGCTGCTTGTTTTGTTGTCACAGCCTAAGAACAATTTCTACACACTGTTAGTGTACACTGTAAATGTAAATTATTGGCTCCTTTGATTCAAGAATAGTTTGGACTGTGATAATTAGTGTTGTAAACTCTAGTTGATGATTAAGTAATCCCTTATTGCCTAGAGTCAGGTAGATTTTTATGGAGCTTTATCTGAATTGGTGCACTACTTTCTGCCAGTAGAACCATATATTCTACTGAAATTATGTTCTGCCTGTTGCCTGTGGCAGCTGGGGTGATTCCTTTGCTTCCAGTGTTAGACATGAAAACTGTGGTCATTGCTGTTAATAAAATGTCACACGCACCAAATGGCAGCAGTCACTCGCATGTCCCTTACTGTTCAGTTAGTATTTTATTGTGGCGTAGGTGATAATAAACACTCTTAAAGCCCATGATCTAAACATAGCAAATGCCATGTGATTAATGGATTTAATTTACTTTATATCCGTGCATTTTAAATAACTGGTTTTAAAATAATATTTCACTGTAAAAATTTAATCTTAGCAGTTTAGGATGATCAATAATTAATTTCCAATATGACTTAGCATTGTTTTATTTAAAATACGACTGCATGCATTTAAAAGTACAGGAGTAGGCTGTACTGAGACTTCAGTAACTTGTGTATTGTTTATAAAGGCTAGTTGCAATTTGCTATAGTTTTTTTTCAAGCATGAGTACTAGAACTTTTATGTCAGCTATTTGTTATGGGTAAAGCATGTAAAGTTAGCTTAGAAAAATTGTGTAGTAATCATTCCTGCTTCTCTTAGGTCTCAAGTTCCACTGTCCTATTTTAAATGTGTCTTTCATCAGTGGATGAAAGTGGTGCAAACAAACCAGCCATGTTTTTTTCTTGTGCTGTCTCAGTGGTAATATGAAATTAAAGTCTTTAGTTTTTACTATTACTTTGTGTAAATGTGCACAATTGTAGGCAGGTTATTCAACACTTTAATAGTCTTTCAACAAAAAAAAATAGCCGTGAGATCTAAGCAAATGGAACAGACATCGTAAAACATGACCCTTAAGAACACTTAATTACATATTGAAAAGAAAGGAAGTTGTAAGTCTTTTAGTAGTAGAGGAGTAGTTATGTATTTGCTCTTGAATAAATACGTATGTCAGATGTGGTTTAATAAAAGCATGCTTTTATGGAAGGTTGCCCAAATGTCTTCTTTAAAAGGTGGTAATACTCAAAGTTGGTGAACTCMCTTTCAGAATAAGTTGGTACTCTGTGCATTTGATTTCTCTACCACTAGCCTGTGACTTGCTAGCTTGTGGTCATCTGTTATGTTAGGACGTCTTGGTGCTTTCTAGTGCAGAATTCTATTTTTTTGCACTGTACTATATATATATATATATATATATATATATATAAAAAAGTGATTTCAAGTAACCATAGAATGTTAAAGTATTAACAATACCAGTAGAATTGAATGATTCACGAAAACAAGGACTTTTCTGCTGCAGAGGAAGCAAAAAAATGAACACACTTGTTTATCTGCTTTGGAGTTTGTACTTCAGGAAGCCTTTAAATGCCTGGTAAATGACTGCTCAGTGTTAGCTTCCTTTTATTGTACTACATGTCTTGCAATAGGATGTTTCAACTATATAAGAATTCCTAATTTTCAAAAGGAAAATTCTTTTTTCCTTAGTTTGACAATGATTTTACTTCTGTTTCTCTGATTACGGGGTGACATCAGCCTGCAATGTTAAAAGGTTGTCTGCTTTCCACTCTGGGACATTTCTGCTTTGATACTAGATTTGCTCTCAATTTTAAATATYGTAGTGGGAGTGAGGGATAGAGAAGGGAAGTGAGAGAACTCTTTCCATGTTTTAAGTGAACCGCAAACTTCTCCTATTTCCTTCTTCCCCAAATCTTTCAACTACCATGTTACTGTGTCAGAGTCAGATCCAGGCATGGYCACAGCACCTGAAGACAAGTCAAACCAGACTGCTGACCAGCATTTGTCATGAAGGGAAATGCTAGYGATGTCCGAGCTTTCCAAAGCTGGGTAGATATTTCCTAAAGAGGTTTAAAACAGTAAATAAAACAGATTAGCTAATATCTTTTAAAAACTTGCACATTACCATTACCTACACGCTTTTGATGAGGTTTCAAGGGCTATTATTTCTTAGCTTGCTTGAACCTGCTGTAAATATCYGCAGTTTCATCTTTCTGTATGAAAGTGATATTGCAGCCGTCCTCTGTTTTAAGGAAATACGATGCAGTCAGAACCAAAAAAACCCTTTTTGGTTCTCTTGACTTGAGAAGTGATCCTTTCCTTCTGTAGAGATGAAAAATACTCCAAATATCCAGCTCTGGACTGCTAAATAAGAAATGGAATGTAACTGACTTTTTAGGTGTTAGTAGTTTAGAAAGACTTTCTTGGATCTTGTTGCACTTGTCCTTTAAAAGCAGCGGTAAATAATTCATCTTTCTCATTGGTTTGAACTTGATTCTACAGACAAGAAACATTGAGTATCTCTGAGTGAGTGAAATTCAGTGTCAATCTGAGACCRATTTGTCCTGTAAAATAGGGACCCCTAATGGAAAATTGAAGAATATCACCCAGTTGGTTTACCTTAATGCTCRGAGGCTGATCACTGAAGTTTAATACTTGAGTGTTCTTAAATATGAAGGTAGATCACTAAAACAAGATATGATGCTGGAATTGATCACGATCTTTGGTAGCGGCACCTTTKTTAAATGTAACATCTTTAAGCTATAGTTTTTTCAAGTACAGTACTGTACAGGTCTAGATCGGGCAGTAGCAGAACCTTCAACATACAGGAATCAGAACAATCTACTTTTTCCTTCTTGCTACATGTCCTTGTATAATAGTACTCTATTAAAAACAGACTAGAATACTAGTGCTTTTCCTGCAATTTGTAGGAAGTGGGAAGAAACTYGTCTGCATTAGGCATCCATTACAAGGCTTCTTATCAGATGATGAACCAAGTTCTTTGAAGCAGGTTTTTTGTGTGACTGTCTTCAGAAGTCTGGTGCCGTAGTTTTTGTAACTGCACATGAGAATTAGTGTTGAGCTTCTGTACTTGAGGTTGGTCTGTTGTGAGAATATGAACAAACTTCCAGGTTATTCTACTTTCTTATGGAATATAACAAGAAATCGAGGTAAAGTACATCCATATTTCTTCATGGTAGATTGTGATTTGAATTCAGATTCAAATCATGAAACCATTTCCTGAAGCCATTTCCTGCATGATTCCTTGGCCCTGCAACGGATCTTACTGTGAAGGCTACTCTAGATGCCACGGTAGACCAATTAAAGCTTTTAATGTTTTGCCCTTAGGCCTGTGAGTAGCAGGTACCAAGGTGTAAATCTTTCTGCTCTTCTTGCGGTGACAGTGACCATCAGTGAAGGCAGATACTGTAAGTTGTCAGTCTTTGAAAGCCAATGTTGTATTGTTAAACTCRGGGAAGTTAGCAGCAATGATACAGACACTTGGTTATTTTATTAGCTGGCTGTGTTGGCTGACTTCTCTCTGTAATGTGCAACAGTGCACAGCACTGCAGGGAAATACTGCTTTTAGTTAAATTGATTAGTCCGTYGCTGGGAGTGTCTGTCTAGGAACACAGGACTGGAAGGAGCTCAGCTCCTGCTTTCCGTGGATTAAACTTGCTGGTTGAGGGATCCTTTATCACACTATCATTACACTAATTTTTTTCTTCCTAACTGTGCATTAAGAATGTTCATAACCTGCTACATAATGAGCAGTGAAAATTCAAGAATATTTAATTTTTTTTTATCGCCACTACAATAAAATAAGTCTCTTTTCCATTAACTCAAACTCTTTTCCATCTGCTCAAACTTATGTTAYTGTTTCTACTGTAATTTGTTTACTGTTGCTAAGGATGTTTCAGAGGCTGTGTCATCACAAAATGAAAAATGAATTATTCTAGGGCTTGCAGGTTTTCACACCTTACATACTAGAAAGCCTTATTAACAATCTGGAGTCAAGTGAGAGGAGGAGTATTAATTCACAAGATTTACTAGGAAGAAGAACTGTCTGGAGTGGTTAGACCTCTTGCTAGGCTTCCTGTCTTTAATTTCTTGGTTCTTAATCTATTTCTTAATTTTCATCTCAAGATAATCAATCTAGTCTCTTAATTTTCATCTCAAGATAAGTAATGGAAAGAAAGTAAATATTAAGGAAGAGATGGTATCTGCCACGGGAAAAACTTTCCAGATCTGTGGTCTTAGAGACCCTTTCCATGTATTGTCTTCCCAGAACTCGCCAGCGCTGCTGTGCAGAAAGGTGTTCTTGGGTATTTATTTAACATTGAAATTATCTATGTCTTTAGCAAGAGATTTACCCTCTGTTTTGGAATTTGAGTACAAAGTTAAAAGGACCTCTTACTTTACATGATTTTAAAATCTCAGTAATATATTCCAGGTTACCAGCCAGTGAGGCTTGCCGTGGAGCAAATTATCTCCCTCCTTTTTAATTTTTCTCTTCACTGTGGTTCTCCAGTACTATGGTCTGTGTTTATGCTGTTGTGTATAATGATACGTTGGAGTGCAATAAACTGCAGCTTATGGCTGATGTCATCAGTAAATGAGATTTCATGAACTTTGCTGTGGTTTCTTCTCACCACCTCTCCAGCTGCTTGTCTGCTTCACTCAGGGCAGACTGACATGGCAGCTTACACATGGCTTTTAAGGGGAAGATCAAATCCAGGCCTGCACTGAAGCAACTGAGATAATACTCTASATCTGTGTCTGAAGCTGCTCTAAGAATATTACCTCTTGGTGGAGGCAGCTTCAGGCAGGAATGTTTTTAAAGTTGTACCAAGATGTGCAGATTGGGCAAATTTTTTTTTTGCGCATACAGCTCATTTTCCTGGAGATGATTGTGAAGAAGCTGTCTGTAGTTGCATTGTGTAAGTTGAAGAGGCTGGATAGCCTTCAAAAGTATTTTGTTATTTCAAAGAAAGTCCTGAAGTCAGAACCAAGGTCTGTTTTGTGGGATTTTCAGGTGAAAAATGCAGCTGAGGACTTAAGTTGCCTTTTTGGTAGGCCACCAATCTGATGTATCTATTTCTTTTTCTAAAAATCATCCTTTAATTTTCCTCTGTCAAAAAAATACAGAAAAYGTGCATTTCAGTGTCTAATTTCAAAGAAGATCAGACATTTATTGTTAACTTGTATTTTGAAATCTTTTGTAGAGGTTTTGTTAGCTTGGGGGATAAATTATGCCATAGCTACTTTTTAGCATGGGATCGTTCATTTAGTGCTTTGAATCCAGCAACTAAAACTCAGACTGAAACTGTAAGTCAGTCTGGGAATTCAGACCAAGTTGTTGCCTTGCTGTTTCCAAATCACTGTTTACTCTAGATTGATGCACGCTTCCAAAGCCCAAGTGTTTTTAGTTTCCCCCTCATTTGATTTCGCTGGTTTGCGTAGAGCGTTGTTGGCATGTGTGAAATCTGCTCACCACATGGCGGGTAGTTTGCAGTTACTGTTAACCAGCTGTTGCATTCCCACAKAGCTCTACGTCAAATGCTAATTGCTCTGTAAGTTCTGGTCATTAAACTCCCCCTAAAGCTAGGGAACCTCCCTATTTGGGCAAAGYCTGAAGCGGAACTGTCTGCACTGGCCCTTGGCAGAGAGCTTGACCTGAAGGCCCTTTTTATCCTAGAATGTTGGAAGACATTTGGCAAAATGTGTTCTGAGACTGTCCTGTGCTCTGGTGGAAATGGGCCCAGGACAAACATGTCCTGTCTCAGAACTGAAATGTGTCATGTGAGTGTCCCCCTTTTGGTTGCTCCATCCTCTTTGAGAAAGGAAGAGACAGTGGCAGTGAGTGAGCTCTGACGTTGTTATTGTGCTTTTGGGTTTGTTTCCAAGCTTTGCTGCCCACATCTGGAGGAGATAGGGTTTTATCTCTGTCCGTTTTACTGCACAGAATGGGGAATGCTGCTGATACCAATATGTATCTGAAGAAGATATTGCTGCTGTGAAAAATTCTCAGCTTTGTCTGGTTTAAGTATTCAAACACACATGTAGTGATGCACAACTTGGAAAAGTCTGGAAAGGATTTTTTTCTGCCTCCCCTCCCTTTTTGTGCCTATGTTGCCCTTTAGAATTGAAAATGGACTTCAGGTCCTCTGCTTTATCTATAGGGAACAAGCAGTCATGATATCATTCCCTTTCTGCTTTTATTTTTTTTGAACTTGAGTGCATTTTGAGTTTGGGCACCACACAAAACAGGCTTGGTTCCTAAGTGCTTTGCAAAGGGAGGCTTTGTAGATGTCTCAGTGGTTACCTGTGCAATTCTAGCAGCTAGGAAACAATAATACTACTAAAATTACAGTAATACTATAGATAGTATTTAAAAATTGTTTAAATRTGAGATTTTATTGAGATCAGTTTTGTAGGTGTCCACTTAATGCAATAATGTGCTTCAGTATTTTATGTCGTTCTTTCAGTCGAAGCCTGCTGAGGGACAGCAATAAGTTCAGAGGTGTCCAAGCAGGCTATTTTTGTGTGCCTTACATGCATGGTGAGGCATGAGGCCAGTGCTCAYGTGTTTTCAGCCTTGGGGTGTGCTATTAATGTATCAGTTTGTATTAATGACTAATAGCATCAGTTTCGTGCATTTCTGGAACAGCACCGTACGATGCAAGTATCGGTCGCATGTCTTCGCACCAAGAAAAACTAATTTCTCTGTGCAAACCTTGRTGTGTTTTAGTTTGTATTAGTCTTGAAGCAATTCAAAGGTGTGTCTGAGAGGTGAGGCGGTCAGCTGTACTCTGATATTAAACAAATAGAAATGCTCTGTGCCTCCTGTGGAGCCTTTTGGCAGTAGTTATTTGGGATCATATGCTAATTTGCAACTCTTGTAAGTATTTTTACACTAATAACTTCAAAACTTTTTTTAAAGTTTTTACTTTTTTGCTTTTGGACCTCTTTTTTTTTAAATGCCTGGCATTTCTACATAACTATTTTTGCCTTATTTTTGTAAAAATAACTTCCAAACTATGGCTGACRTTTATTCTGCAGTTTTTGCCTGCCGTTTGAGAGATGTTTATACAGAGGAGATAGTGCCCCAACTTGCACCTTTACCTTCTGATCCCAGTAAAAATACTAACGCATTTGATGGGCTTTGAACACGCTACCTGTGAATGTTCTTTACTTGCTCATGTGAAGAGTAGTGTTTGAATTCAAGTAGACCATATTTTTATTGATAAGTTATAGGTTTCTAGGTCTCCTCCTCAGCTCATTTGGTGTCTTTAATGGAAGTCATGGCAGAATACAGTCTTCTGATAGTTGATTTGCATGTGCTTGCCTTTTAATACCTTTATCTCTGAATACAGTTTTAATGCCCGTACCATGATTTCCTATACTTCTGTGTTTCTTGGTTATATTATTTTTAAAAAGTTGACTTGAATTTGCCTTGGTATTTCATGTTCCTGAAAAAAAATGGAGCTTTTTCATTGTTATTTCCTTGAAAGCTTGCTGCTCCACCTGTGAGAGAGGTGCCTGTTCTGAGCAGCATTGCTGTCTAATCACGAGTCATGTTACTGCTCTAAGGGAAAAGATAAAYTGGAACTGTGTGTATTAACACTGTCTCCCTCTCTGTTTTTGTTTTCTTTCAGGAGAGAAATAGAAACAAACAATAACTATATGGAGATGTCCTGCTAGAATTACAACACTAATGATGTAGACTCTGGAAATGCCTAATATGTCTAAGAAGACGTTATTAAAGCTTTTTTCTGCTTAAGGTGACATCTTTGAACACTTTAACACAAAATTGACTCTTCTTGTAATGGTTCTCATCAGTGCATCTGCCCTTATACTCTCTCACCAAACACACTTGAGAACTGTACCTTCGTCAAGCACTTTCTGTCCTGAAGCTTTTACCAGTATCTGCTGTCTTTTGTATTTATGCATCCTAGCTAAGGCACGGGAGACCGAACGAATGCAAGGATTCATTAACTCTTTGAATTTGTTAAATACTAACAATTAACCATTAGAAGTGGTTCAATGATGTGAGATTCACATTGCTTCAACTTTTTTTCTTTGTTGTAGTTTTTTTTAATTGTCAGTTTTTAGCTATTCAACAGATTAAAAGCAAATCATGCCATATTTAGTCCTGGAGTAAAACTCAAGTCTAAATGTTCATGTGAAAATTATTGTAGTAATCTTTTAATATGGCAAAGCAACTTTAAGCTGCAGTTTAGCCAAATGAAACGTAACATGAAATTATATTAGAATGACATTTCCCTTGTTTCAAACTGTTTGGTGTAAGAGAATATTAATATGCAGCTTGGTGGGATTCCACCAGTTAATGCACATTTATTTTTTTTTCTGTAACATGTATACTGAAAAAAGTGCATTTGTCTGAGGAACTGTTTGTTTGCTACCACTCAATGAATCTCAGTTTTGAGTAAATGTACCTCAGTCTAAATCAGACTTTTTATGACCTTTATAACTACATTTAAAATAATCTTTAATTCCTGTTTCTGGGTGTTTGCAAGCCTGACAAGATTGCTATCATGGAAGTGAAAATTTACTCCTCTAGGTGATTCACTAGCTAAATAAACATAATTCTTGTTTAGCAAGCATATACTCTGGTTCTCAAATTTTTTTTTACCCCCTGTCCCATATTGAGGTGCTTTTTCCCCTATTCAAAATATTTCCAGGAAAGTACTTTCATCCATGGTCATGTCACTTGTAGCCATGTGTGCAAGTTTTCAATTAGAACCATGCAACAAGGATTTTAGGATGYGCATTAAACTAGGGAATTATATACTAGTTTTTAACTTGCAAAAAATATATCTTCTGTTTCAGTTGACTATAGCAACACATTCTTTCTGCTGGAAGAGAATACTAAAAAATGTCAAGCAGGTGTATTGACTGCACAAAATCCTGAACAGCCTGTACCAAACTCCAGGGATAGCTTTCTCTTTTTAGAACAGCAGTGTAGAAGGCAGATATCTTAGAGCTTAAAATAGCAATACCGCATATTATTTGAATGTGTTTTGTGTCTTACTGTCCAACACAGATGTTTACATTGTGTTTGGGGTCTTTCATTTTTAGTGTCTGGCAATCAGAGTTCTGAAGCTTAAGTATTGGCATAGCTTTGTTTTGGATATAGACTATTTTGCTCCCGTAAGCCCCTCGCATATGCGAGGTGTTCTATACACACTACTTTTTACCCATTATTTAAAATATTGCTTGTGGAAAAAAGTAGCAGATATGAATCTTAATTTTACTGCTGATTTTTCTAGAAGTTCAAAGGCAAGTTCAGAAGTGGTTGCCATGTTTTGGAGGAGAAAAAACAGTCTTAAATGCAGATGGGCAACAGACAATGTAGAGGAGCAGGGATTAGGAGGGGTAATGGAGAGAKAAGAATATAGAGATAAGTGTGAGGAGACACCAGGACAGAAGGGTTTCCAACTCCAAATGTGCTTTCCTCTGGAATTTGGCTCGAGTCCAAAGCTGCCTGCTTCCATATGCACCTCCCTGCTTTTGTAGCTCCCTGTTTCCCTTTATTGGCTGCCTGTGGGTTACTGCCTGTTAACCACGGCCATCACTGATGAGCCAGCAGGGCCAAAAGCAGTGTTGAGAGTCCAGAGACTGCATCTTGCTTGGTGATTCTTCAGGAGGTCCGATTGCTTCTAACTTCCTTGCTTCTACAAGGTGTAAGCAAATATGCAGCTGTTTCCAGATTGAAAAAAAAGTCAAGCATTCAGGAATCCCCTGCATATGCAACCTCATCTTGGTTCTGTCACAGCATGCCTGYTTTTGACGAGTTTATTAACATGTTTTCTCTGGCCCTTTTGCCTCCTACTGGATAGCATGAGCATTGCCCTGTGACTGAATCAGATTTATTATTAAACGGGTGCCTCATTTGTTACAGATCCTGAAAGCCTAGAAAAGGAGACAAGATTGTAAGAGGAGGTGATCATGTTTAGTGAGCTGTTTAGTTGACAGTTGTTATGCTGTTCCAGGAATGTCAGCCAATCTACGAATGGAAGAGTTTTTCATTGCTGATGTTAGCCATGCTTCAACTGATTTGCAGAGCTTAGCAGGTGAAATTAAGGAGTTTTATGTGCATATAAAGTGCTGTGAAAATAGTATATGCATTGTAAAATCAGTTATGAAGTGCTTTACCAGTTAATGGACATGTGATACTTCTTCAGTTTCCTTATACACATTTTTTTCCTCCAAAAAAATAAAGTGATCTTAATATCTCAAGATAACTGTAAAAATACTCGTTGATCGTTTGCTTTTCAGTAAAGTGAGGTGGCTGTAAAGGCTACTAACTAAGAAGGCGTTGGTGGTGCTTCTGTTTGTGTCTGTGTTGCCGCCTCCTTTGTGCGGTTCCCCTCTGATCCGCCCCGAGCCAGTTCCAGACATTTGCTGATCCATCTGCCAGGACTCGTTAGGAGGGCAGAGGGGAAGGAAGGACGTTTGCCCTTAACAACAGCAGGTAACCACGACTCCATAGGCTTAGCTGCACTGTAAAACTATACCCTGATGAGCCRAACCCTTCTCACAAAAACTGGGGAAGACCTTTCAAGGACAAAAACTGATTCTGTTTTCATTTTCGGGTGGTGTGCAGTAAATAAGATGCTGTTACACACATTCAGTTATRGCAGCAGGAGAGGAAATAAAGAATATTTTCCATTTTGAGTACTCTGCCCTTCTTGAAGTCAAGTAGGAAACTGGTTGCTGAAAGGCTGACTCCAACCCAGCCAAGTGGGACAACTTAAAGTTACATGAGCATTTGCTAACCTTTGAGTGCATCTTAACTTTGTAACATCCATGTCTTTAGCGGAGTGAGTTTTTTGGTGCCTGATGAAATAAGTCTTGTCACTTGAATGCTCAGGTTGCTGGCTTAAGCAAAASAGGTGCTACTTTACTTTGAAGGACTTGGATTTGGAAAAGCTTAGCATTCGCTACTAGACAAATCTCAYAGCTTTGCCTTCTGTTTTCCTAGGTTTAATTTATCAAATATTTGCTTCTGTACAAGCCTGCTCTATTTACAGCAGCTTTTTTTTCTTTTGGATACTTGATCACTTTCATAACATCTATATCTGCAATATTTAGATGTAGAAACCCATTGCCAAAACAAGTCTCATTCTTGACAAATCAGTGGCAACAAGCAGCAGATCATGTTGATCTCTTGTTCAAGTGCAAACAAGTAAATTCTGAAGAAGTGATGTCTCAAATATTTTTCACCTTTCAGTAAGTTCTTTTTTGAAGATTTTTTGGTAGGAGAGCTTTCATACTTGAAATATCAATAAAAATAAAGTACAGATGCTAGTACGTCTTTTCTAGCTAAAACTTGTCAAGAATAAATGTTTTGAATTCTGTAAGTAACAGTAACTTTTTGGCCCTTATCAGCTAAACTTTCAAAACTTTTGGTGAATTATGTGGTATTTCTATTTTTCATCAAAAATTTAAGCCTCTGGATGTTTCTAGCCCTGTGTGATCATAGTGTGGATTGTCTTCAGTGAGTTTTCTGGAGCATGGATTTTTAAGTAAATACTTCGAGGCATTCATATACAAACCACTGTTTCTGAAGGAATGGATTTCACATTTTCTTAAAATAGTAAGCCCTTTGAACACAGTTTTGCTGATATTTTTATGCTAAGGAAATACACGCCTGTTTGCAATGTCGTTTTATTCTTTTGCCGTGTAAAGATGCGTATTTACTGATAAGGGAGAGAGTAAGAACAATTCCATTCAGTTCCAGCAATTCTGGTTTAAGTCATTTGCTGTTTTATGTGAATACAGTTAATTCGATGTGAGCTTATTCAGCATGGAAATTCATCGTTTGGTCCTTCCTAATCCTTTGGAGAATTTCAATAAAAACTTGTTCACATCCTTACCTTCTTGAACTTTATTAGACTTACGAAGTGTGATGTGTTCATTATGTACTGTTTTCTGCCTGACGTGACTGTCAATGGTTCGCATGGGAGACAAGAAGTTTCTGAGTCAGAAATTTTTAAGTACATAAGTTTGGTCACACTGAACATTACAGTATTAGTGGGAAGCTTTTATAAAAACAACTGTTTTATACTACTTTCCTTAATATATTTTAAGAAAAYGCATTTTAATGATAAATATAGACCGTTCAGATCATCGAGTTAAATTTGTGCCTAGTTCGGGCTTTTTCAGAGTATTTCTGTTGCTGTAATAATCCTGAAGTATTCTTATTAATGATTTACTCAGTGCCCAGAGATATTTAAGTCAAATATTAATCATAACTCCTACTTAGTAATACAACAGATGTTTAATGTTTCCAATACTTGCTATCTTTGCCATTGTCCTTCCCCACAATGGAAACCAAACACCAGTTGGATATCCCGCTCTAACCAACGGGAAGCTCTTGTGCCGCCCTGAAAGCAGAGCACAAACTGGTGAGTCTTGAAGCATCTTCCTCCAGAAGTTGCCTACAAAATTGACATCTGCTCTTAGATATGCAAGAGTGGGGATTTTTTGTTTGCATCTAAATAAGCTTTTCTTTCCCTGGTGCCCTTGGGGAGCACTCCACTGTCCGATCTTTTCTTCCTCCTCTGGATGCCCCTCAGAGAAACCTGGCATTGGATGCAGCTTCATGATCCACAGAAAACAAATCCTGACCTTGCTTATTTTGTTCTGTGGTTAGAGAGAGTCTTCTGGCAGGGTTTACCTTGTYTCAGGCTGCGTCAGACAGTTTGCCCCACTAGTTGACAACATGAATGGAGAAGCTTTAGTCTGGCSTGGGTTTAGACTCCTCTAAGGTGCACACAAATCTCTGAACTGAACTCAGCAGTGTTTTGTTTCTGAAGGTGGAAAGGGACATCATCTCCTTGGAGTGTTAAAGAGCATGCAGTTATTCAAATGCAAAGATCCATACTAGCTGTTCCTCTCAATTTTATAACTGATGCATTATGAATTYATAAGCTTAATTTCTTCTGTGCAGTCACACTTCATATTGAATTAAATTCCTTTCCTGTAAAGTTAGTTTGCAACACTGAGAATTTAAATTCTTGTTTTTGACTTCCATTCAGCCAGAGATACTTTTCCATTGTATCTGCCTGCAGAAGTTTACGTACACCCGATTGGGGATGTTGATGTGCTATGAAACAAGGTACTCGAGATTGACAACTGTGTTTTAAGTCGAACTTGTGGGCTTTCAAATAAACACACTGTCTCTGTGCCCTCCTATGTGAAGCATTACATTTTAATCCTGACTGCTGAATGTATGCATCTTTTCTTTCATGTTCTTAAGCATCTGAAAACCTCAGATGTTTAAAATAAATAATATAAAAAAAAAATCCCACCTCGTAGCTTTATGCTTAGTCTAAGAAAAAATTCCAAACTAAGTATACAAGCTTAAAGGAAGTTTAGCATTAGCTTGAGCTAAGCTTTTACATTTCAGAGAAAAAAAAAAGTATAAAAGGTTGTAATTATCTATTGTATATCTACTGTAAAAAGCCAAAATATTGTTTTGCTGACAGTAATGTATGCAGTTGCTGTTCAATATTATCCAAGAGTCTTACGAGTATTTGCATTAATTCATAATAGCGGCTATGTAAAATAGAGGTGAAAGGTTTGAGGTATCTTCTTCCAAGAATACGGAATTGTTAAATTGATTAAAAATCAGATGTTTGTGCTGTGACTGGAATACATTGAATGTTAAATTTATCCCTCTTCTGCTAGTCCTCTGGAAAATATTGCTACTAAATTCTTACCACTTTTTACTTAAGTTGGCTGCCAGGTTGTTTTATAGCAGCTTAACTGGTTTGCAGCTTGTTTCTCATGAGATGCTTCATTGGGTCTTGTGAGTGTGGTGCTTCATTAGAAAATGTGTACAACTGTATTTAATTTCTTCAAGTTAATGTAACTTAATTGCTATTAACTTGAGCTGTATTTCCTTCAACTTCATATTTTACAGTAATGCTTGGTCTTTCAGTTGTATTGATCTTTAATTTCGAGAATACCACTTGCAGAACAATTCCAAGAAGTTTTTAGTTCTTGAAATTTATGCTTATTTTAAATGTTAATAAATAACTACCATATCTGCATTCTTGGTTGCTAGTGAGTATTGATGATTTCTTGGAAAACTTACATTCAAAGATGGAGACAGAAATACCTGTCCTGTAACATGGATGAAATATCAGAGTACCAGAGAATTAAATGCTGTGTGAGATGCCAGAAYCAAACTTTTATTTTCAGGGTGGTCCCCCATTCACACTTCAGTGTGGCTTACATGGTAGAAAAATCTTTTGAGCCAAAAAAAAMCCCCAAGAATGTGTGGTAGAGTAACTTATTCCAGATGAACTTCTRATTTGGCCTGCTTGCTTTTTTAAATTTATCTTTTACATCTCTRACTTTCTCTTAACATGATCTTATTCTTGGCCTTAGATGAATTTGCAGCATTAGAGCTAATTTGTTCTCCTGTAGGGTGAATCTGTAGGGTCCTTCCACTTTCTTGAAATCATAGATTCGGGTTGATTCTATGAAATAACTTTTTTTTTTTTTTTAACCAAGACTGAGGATTCGCAGTGTTCAGCATAGACCTTATTCACCAAATGCAATCACTGCAGTTTTCTACACTCTCCTCAAATGATTTCATGGTCAGTGATTTCTCTGGGCTCAAATCTCTTGCTTATATTAAGTTGCTTATCTGAAGAAGCTGTTTGGTTACTAGTTTATCAATAGCTGAGGTCTTTAGACTGATGAAATGACCAAATAATGCAATATGATTAGCTCTACTTTGTTCTAGTATTAATATAAAATACCAAAGGCCTCCCGTGGTAGCTGTTTTTGAACACTTCCACTTTCTGGTTAGCTTTGGTGTCTTAGTTATGTCCAGGAATTTCTCCAGCAGACTGGAAGTCTGCTTGAACAGCATTACTGCAATACATCAAGACGGAATTTATTTACTGCGTTTAGATCTAAGTTTGGAACTTTTTTTGAGTAACTTCACTCATGTCCACTGAGCCTACATACTTGCTGTATAACACCTTTTATTCACTCGAAAGGACAGTTTGACTCTGYCATTTTCTCTTGACATTTTCTTCCCATTCCTTGTAATTAGTCATGCCATGTAAAAGAGCAAAGAGCTCTTGGTTAGCTCTTGGTTTATTCAGTTGCAACCAGTGGGAAATCTTTCAAGAACCCCAGAAGCAGGCGAACTGCRATACTTGCACCTGTGGAGAACAAATACATCAACAAAGTCTAAGGTAGAAGGAAATTGAGGAAAAATGGTCCCCATAGAGTCCATAATGTTTCTCTTTCCATTTGTAGGATGACTGAGTATGGAGCCATGTTGTTTATTGTTGAAGAAGGTTCCTGATCAGAAAGGAACAGTTCTGATTATTATGCAGAAGGATAGAAATATGCTCCTCAGTTGGGTAAAAATCAATGTTT